TCAGCATGGGGGTGAGTAGAAAATGAAGGCTAATCATGTTTTGGGTGTACTATTCCTTTAAGGAACAATGGAAAGAGTATTGCTAGACTTCTGGAAAAGTTTGGTATAAAAGTAGGCCACCAAATCATTAAGTTAATCCAAAAATGTGAAGAAAAAAAAAACCCATATAGTTTATACCCTGAAGTTGAACTCCAGAAAAAAAGAGAGCAGAGGATTTAATCATGAAGGAACATGAAGGAATCCATCACTTAAACCAGTAAATTCAGTTTCTTTTGTTTGATGGTTGAGCTTGATTTAGAAACATGGGGCAAAAATAACAGTTTTTCCTTCTGTGCTTAATGTGTCAAAGCAATGAACTCAAACAAGACCTCTGCAGAAAAATGAAAAATATGGGACTGAGGACTGGAAGTTTATGCTGCACTAAATCAAACAGGATGTCCTTTCTGGACAAAAGCAGCTTCCTCTCGGGTTTTATGTGAAGGCTCATCATGATGAAGAGAAATAGAATCGAGTCAAAGAATATTTCTATCAATTCTGTGTAGTTTAGTTCTATTGCAGCGGTTGGCAGCTTATTTAATCTCTAGATGATTTTATAAAATTTTTGTACATGTGGTTCACTTTGCTCCTGATTAAAACAGGCAGAGTATGATGATCCTATATTATCAACTGGTAGAAAGTTGTTTTTCTAAGGAAGCCCAGCAAATTGCTTTGAATTATGGAACATTGCAGCAATACCCCATTCCCAGGATGCATTGGGAGAAGGAGACCTCTGGCATCACTTAGTGATTATGGGGGCAATAAGGTTAAATTGTTTTGAAGTGTAGAAGACACTGGATAAATGAGTAAAACACAGAGCAAGGGGTAATTTCTATAGAAAAATAAAACAAACATCTCAGCCCAGCTAGACGTGTAAGCGCTTTGCCACTTTATATTTAGGAAAAGAAAGAAGGTGGAAAGGTGGTGGAGTTTGTAGCACTGCTGCCATACAGCAAGAAAGTTCTCGGCTCGATTCCCAGCCCGGGGTCTTTCTGCATGCAGTTTGCATGTTCTCCACGTGCATGTGTGGGTTCTTTCCTGGTACTCCTGCTTCCTTCCACAGGCCATAATCATGAATGTTAATTGGCTTCTCTAAATTGTCCTTAGTTGTGTTTTTGCATGGCGGTACATCTCCGTGTTGACTGGCGACCCGTCCAGGGTGGACCCCGCCTTACACCCATAGACAGCCAGAGATCAGGATAGAGAATAAGAGAGAGAAGATGGACGCATTAAGAAAGGAAACTAGATTTAGAAAGAATAGCTGTCCTACCTTGAGTAACAGAAATAGAATAGTTCTTCGCTTTCTGCGCCGATCAGAGCAAATCTCTCTGACTGGAACCAAAATCACGCTGTGCACTGAATAGGTGTTCCTCTTTCTAGAAGAGTGATAAATAATTTGGGCCGCTATATACTCTATTTCCCGTTGGATTATTCATTTATGCATCTGTTTTATTGAACTAAGGCTGTTCATCCAAATGCAACCGTCAGATGTAGAACTGGTGTTATTATAAAGCTGTTAATGATTTTTTT